CGATCCGTCAGAGTTATATTGGTCTACAGCTAGCAGTGTCAAGTTAACTGGCGCCTGTTGATAGTTAATTTCTATCACTCCTTCTGCTAACCATTTCTCAACTTGTTCTTTTACCACATCCTCGTGTCTCCAAGATACATAGTTCCTTGAGGGGCACTTCAACTGTGTAAAGTCCACCTTGGTTAAGTCAAGGCTGACATACCCGTCGTTAAAACGGAATTTTGCCCAATCTGTGATCTCTTCTTATTAACTAGAATCAGATCCATGATTTTGTTCGCAAAGTCAGGTATTAATGCCCTGACTGTGTCTGACGGGTGCTTATATGGTTTCAGACAGTTATCGTCTGACTTATCCTTTAATGGATATATGTTATCTGGTAGACCAGTAACGGTTATACCTAGAGTGAGTAAATCGCTCATTCCGACTATAATGTCGTACTTCTGTTACATCTTAACTATCACAGCTTGGGTAGTGATACTCCTATCATCGGCCAGGGAGGTTTTATCATCTGTGGCCATGGTATCACACTTAGAAGTTTTATCATCAGCTAAAATGAGGTGAGTTGTTTGTGTTCTCCTTTCGATATCTTTCATTAATGCAAAGCGATCGGCCTCAGACTTTATCTCTTGTGAGAGGAGGAGCTATAAACTCCTCAGTTATCAGTATTTAAAAATTGTAATATGTAACATTATTTAAAAGAAAATAACATGTGTACATATCTCCATGATTTTTAAACAGTACGGAATTTTTTTTGTTGTCTACATAATCCAACACTATTTATCTATTTATCACAAAAGTAATTGCTAATACCCAACGATATACATTATGCAAGAAAGCTCGGTACAACTGGGCGATGGACCTGGCGAGGAAACCATCGAGCGAAGGGAAAGTACCAAGAGTAGGAGGTCACAAATATCTCAAATACGCTTGCAACGGAAAAGTAAAACTGGGTCTATGGCCTCTGGCCGGTTCGTCGGACCTATTACGGACTATCCTACTGTATTGGTTGATCGGGATGGTATCGAAATGGATGATTTGGAATCAATTGCTGGAGACCAGCAGGACCTCCCGGAAGAAATGGAGATGATGGCGGAACAGGTAGGACAAACGTTTGATTTACCTTTCTTTTCCTTCAGATTTCCATGTCTCCAGTTGTGCAGTAATGCTTGCTTGATGCTCCTTATACACACATATACACACTATAACACACAAACACACACGCACGCCGTATGAAACATATACACACTATACAATACTCGTGCACGCACACTATACAGACAATATTATATACACACGTGTAGGCATACACGTACATACGGACAAACATACGTACACACACGAACACAAAAACACACGCACACTTACACAAACACGCACGTATATACACACACGCACACACACACATATATATATATATATATATATAGTAGTGTGTGTGTGTGTGTGTGTGT